TTTTTCAATATTTGCCGAATGGAATATTGCGATATGTTCAGCTCACGGGCCATGTTTCGGGGTTTTGATCTAGACGCTTCGTTACTTTTCGAACCATTTCTGCTGATGTTGCTGTTTTCTTCCGTCCACTTCCTTGACGTCGGTCTATGCTATCAGTATCAGGGTAACGAGCAATGGTACGAGACACAAAAGATTTTTTTCACATTTTTTCATCTCATCCTGTATCCCAAACCATGGGGTTTGATAGAATTGAGATACTGATTCCAAGCAGGGATGAATGGAACCTAACTAAACTACCTCTAATCAGTCAGCCGATATATATAGGATCTAATATGGAAGAAGGTACGGGAGCCGGAGTATTGTGTGAGCAACTAGGAATGGCCTACTACTCGAAAATGTATGGCACATTCAGGTAGAGATCTTTGCGGCATAATTGATTTAAACTATGGAGAATGAAATCTGCGGATCGATGACCCTTTATATGGATACTCAAGTGGCTATTAAAACTATTTAATCTTCTACAATCAATTCCAATGCAGTCCTGTAGAACGGCTCTGTGAAATCTGCCCCCTTCTCTTCGGCTTTGCTGGTTACCTGGTCATTGTAATATTGAAGGAAATGAGATGATTTGGCATGGATGTACTCGCTTCAACGGATTTTGAAATCGCCCATATGATAAAACTTTGAATGCTGCAGTCTGTGTGTGGAAGAGAATGAAGAGATAGAACACCTTTAATACCAATGTCCTGCTCTCCCAAAGGAAAGAGAGCTATGGGCGAACATTCGACTCATGTACTTAGTGTACATTCAGACACGGATCCCTTTGCCATTTATTACTTCGCAAAATGGCTTTGCTGGCTATGTTGCCGGACTTAAAACACGACTCTATTCGACGTTTTTCTATATGCTTTCTACTTCTATAGGCAGATTTATCACCCTTCATCTATTTCAACACTTGTTCCTCTTTCCTTCTCTTTTTTACGCAGCCTGATCACAACGGACCGAAAGGTCTCCGAGTGAGTTAGTTACAATTTCAATTGTAACTACCCATTCTCTAACCAAACCTAAGAAGTGGAATGCGTGGAGATCGGATTGAAAATTGTAAAAAGAGCCTTAAGTTCGACCCAGTTGGAAGAACCTACAAACCCTCTAAAATTGGACAGGTTCAGTCAATTGTGACTGAATCTTTCAAAAACACCATTAAGAGGAAAGATCGCAATGGGGTTGTTATACCAAACTATATCAAAACTTGGAATTTCTGTGTGATGTGTTTATAGACAATGTAGGAACTATATTGAAGTTATTTTGTCAGTACAAATTCCAAACATTGCCAACCCCAAATGTAAAATTACAGTTTAATTAACAGTACGAGTCATCTATAACTTCGCAAGGCTTTGTTCTGTCGCCGGAATTAAAAAATTACTCTATTCGACGTTTTTCTTCATCCTTTCTAATTCTATAAACAGATCTATTACCCTTCATCTATCTCAACCTTTTTCCTTTTCTTTTTCACGCAGGCTGATCACAATGGACCGAAAGGTCTCTGAGTGAAGTAGTTACCATTTCAATTGTAACTACCCATCCTCTAACCTAATGAAAAAGTAGAATGTATAAAGGGTATAAATTAGAAAAATTGTAAAAAACCTTAAGTTCGACCTAGTTGGAACAACCTACAAACCCCCTAAAATTGGACAGGCTCGAACCCAGATGGGACATTACAGCCAATTCAATTGAAAGTTTTGACTGAAACTTACAAAACACTATAACGAGGAAATACGGCAATGGGATTTTTATACCAAACAATGGAACTATATCAAAAGTTGGAAATCATTTATTATTTCTGTGTGATCTCTTTATAGGCCATATAGGGATTATATTGAAGTTATATTGTCAATACAAATTCCACCCATTGCCTACCCCATATGTCAAATTACAGTTGACACAATTGAATATATTAATGTAAATTTTTGTTCCAAATTTTAAAACTCTACATAAAAAAATGGGCTTTTATAAGATTTCAACATAGCTTAATCGACTTCTCATCTTTTGTCGCATTTAAATAGAATACAATATGTTAAACCGGTTAAAATGTTTGCCAATAGCGTCAAGGTTAAGCAACACCTTTTTGGAATTCCATTGGGGTTTTCTTGCAAATGAAAGTAATGTGTACACGCTTTACTTCTTGTTGTTGTTGCTGCTGTTAGTTTAGTTATAAAGTTATTACAGTCGACCAACATAGATTGTATTAAAACAACACCTACATGTCGCTTCAATCGTTATTTATTTTGATTTAAATGAACACAGAAAAAGAATGAGTCATTATTCTACAGAGATTGACCAATATTTTTCTTCTTTAATTTCAAACAAAGTGATTTTTCCTCCTAAAAAGAATATCAAGTTGGTCATGGACAGAGAATTCACATATAATTTATTAAAAATTGTCATTGATCCACATTTTCTTCAAATTTTATTCTAACAAAAAATCATCATATTTCCCCCTTAGGGCATAACAAAGTCCTTTCCGGTGAGAAAGTAAAATTTGTAATCACTGCAATCTCAATCGATCGCCATTTTGTGGCTGATGCTAATTTCATTTTCACCTATGCTTCTTGTACATAATTGTTGTTGCTATTATTATGTTATTCGCTCTCTGATTTGTTTATCATCTACTTGTACTAGTACTCATGTACACATTTGTGTGTGTGTTTTATTTTTGCTATTTATTTATTTAAGGTCGTTAAATTGTGTTATTGTACGCTGCTTGTTGTTGTAGTCTGTCTTTTCCCTCAGTCTCGTAAAGTTGGTTTCTATCAATAAATGTGTGTGCTTGTGTGTGTAAAAATAATGAGGAACATAATATATATTATATACATACTATAACATATATACATACTATGAATACAATATAAGTTGTTACTTTCTTTCCCATTCAAAGATCTTTGTTCATATTATGTATGTATGTGTGCTCGAATTTTTGTCTTTGTAAAGATCTGAAAACAATTAACTCCAATTCGTTAATCACCATTTGCCTAAATATCTTAACGATTATTATTAATGGCATATCATAATTTCCATTTACCTGTTGAGGGTTGTATTTATTTGAGGGTAGCTGAGTTGTATTTTTACACTTGACACTTACCAATGACTTTTAGCTTAAGGGTACTTTACACTATTCGATTGGCAAATGTTATGTTCAATCAGAAAACAATGAAGAATTGTAAATGTATCGCCTCTTGTTTTAACATTTGGTTACATGGGACATAACCGCGCACTAGTTAAGGGTATTTTGAAGCAGTTTGTTTATTTTCACATTACATAACTGCAATTTAGCGATTGGAAAGAAACCTTTTTAAAAACAGTACAGTGATTGAGGGCATTATGTCGATTTATGTGCTGAATCTTCTCTCTCTATTAAAAATCAAATACTTTTCGATAAATTATTAAATTTTTATACCCTTCATCATACTTTAAGTTCGTAAAGGGGTCATGTCGGTCCACGTTTTCGTATATCTCAAGATAACAGTACCTCACAATATTCCGTATTTTGATGATTTTAGCGGCATTATAGACCGGAATTGTTTCAAATTTCGTACAGGAAGATTTGAATGTGTACTACATCCTATGAAAAAAAAAAATACTTATGCAGGTCCACCTCTTCGTATAACCCCTATATAACGGTATCTCCGAATATTCGGTATCTTTATGGTATTTATTAGAGACATTATAGGCAGGAATTGTTTAAAATTTCGTATTTAAAGTTCGGAATTTGTGCTACAGCCTATGGCAAAACAAATTGTGTATGCAAGTCCAGTTCTTCGAATAGCCACCATTTAAGGATTTCTCCCAATATTCGGTATTTTGATGATTTTAGCGAAGTTTTTAAACGTATTTGTTTTAAATGTCGTATTTAAAGGTCGTATTGGATACTCTAACCTATGACAGAATATTGTCTATGCAGGTTCACCTCATCGTGTACCCGACATATAACAGTAAATCCGTTTTTTCGGTATTTTTATGATTTTAGGGACCTTATTCAACGGAATTGGTTTAACGTCTTTCAAGTTCCTTCAAAATGGTGGAGGTTATTTAAATTTTGCCCGCCCGAACTTAGGTGCTTTTTTATCTGTTATTTAATATAGATGTTATTATCCCCTACACCACATAGTGCTATAGGTATTATGTCTTTGTGCATTTTTTTGTAACATGAAGAAGAAAGCGAGATAGACCCATGGTTACTTTTGAGGATCTTCGTAGAATCACATTTGGAGTCGATTTATGCATCTCAGTCCGTCAGTCCATGTTATTCTTGTGATCAAAATTCAGGTCGCATTTATTATCCGATTGAGATGAAATTTTGCAAACAATATTTGTTTGACCCAGGGACGAACCCTATTGAAATTGGTGATAATCGGATCTGATTTAGATATAGCTCCCATATATATATTTAACGACCTGAATTTTTGTATATCCGACTGAATTCAACCTAGAAGTAAGTACATCAAATTTGGAGAAAATCGGTTTAGATATAGCTATAGCTTCCATATATATGTTTCATCCGATTTGGTTTTTAAGTCCCTCACATTCGTAATATGCATTCGAAAACAATGATATATGGTTGCAGATATTTTATAGAGCTCGGAAATACCTTTGCCAAATTTTATCGAGATCGGCTAATCTTTGGATATAGCTCCCATATATATCCTTAATCCGATTTCAATAATGGCTAATATCAGCCCAAATGGAGTGAATTTTGGGACGTACTTTTCCATTTTGTGGATCTTGGCTCCGATATATACATTTTTTAATATATTTTACTCTCATTAATTTATCTAAAATAGTATTATATCAAAATGAAAGAAAAATTATATCAATCAAAATATCTTCTCACTTTCAGTCTCATTTTTGGAATGTAATATATACATATACAAACTTTATACATACATAAAAAATATACAAACTTTTATTAACTTACCTTTTCCTCCTCTCAATCTTTTGTTTAGGATCCCAAGCAGAAGAAACGTATCATAGATGAACTGGAATCGGAAATTTATGAAATCAATGCTGAACAAAATTTTCTACTACTTCGTTTACGTCGTATTATCGATCAATTCTATAAAATGCTTAAAAAGAATGGCATACCCACAGACGTAAATGCTACCAATGCTATGGTTTCCAGTGAAATTGTACCACTTATTAGCGATACAAGTGTTGATATACAGCCCATAACAGTTACACATCGTAATAGTGAGGAGAAATTAATAGAAAAATATTTCGAGGTACAAAGGGAACCTCAAGCTGTGGCCTCACCACCACCATCTCCTCCAACACACTTACACAAAAAGGAGATGGCCAATTGTGTAGAGATAATTAACTTAGATGACGATGGAAATATTATGGAACAAATTGCCAAAACGCAGCAGCAAAGGCAAAGGGGACAAAAAAGGGAATACCCACAAAGCACTGTTAGTAGTAGTAGTAGCAATGCCCACAACAACGGTGAGAGTCTACTGAAGAAATTTGAAATGGTTATGACCAGTCCCAGTGGGCCGCAAACATCACTGCTCAAGCCGATGAATCAACGTGTTGTCAATGAAACAGTGCCACCAGTTGTGACTGATGTCAAAACCAAACTGGAAAAGACTTCAACATTAGCTGAGATTTACAATCAACGTAGGCAGGAGAAAGAGGAGGAACAGCCGGTGTCAACCAATGTGAAGATGAGTCGTATGAATTTGAGACAGGCATTAAAAAGGGCCCAAGCAGCTGTTAGAGGACCAGCCGCTGTTGCTGTTTCAGCACCATTACCTCCTCCACCACCGCCACCACCACAACCCGTTGCTGTGGTTCCCACCAAACCACCAGCTACCAAGGGAAGACCATCCAAGGCTGCCATTGCTGCTGCTGCCGCTGCTGCCGCTGCAGCCGCCGCAGCTGCAAAGCTTCGCAAATCACCTGAAGTTTCTTCTTCCTCTGAAGAGGGAACCCCAGAAAGAGGACCCACACCACCACATGCCTATTGGCCCGATGAATTGGAAGAAACTCGCACCAAGGCCGAAGAATATGGCCAAGAGATGTTTTTGAGAATATTTGACTTATTTACACCTGAGGTGTATGCTCATATGCAACAAAGACGTTCTAAACGACGTCGTCGTTGTGTTCAAAATAACAGTTATCATTATGGGGTAAGTCATGATTTGGAACCGATCCCAAACCGCATACTTTATAAATAACCTTTACAAATTTCTTTCTTTACAGGCCTCTGGTACCAATTACAGTGAGCCCGAGGCGAAAAAGAAGCGTAAAGCTTTCCTTCTATCACCACAAGTGAAGAAAGCTGCCATACCCAATAAACGCAATAAAAGGCGCAGTGCTGACAATGCTTCGGATGTTAACTCAGCTCCTCCATCTCGTTCAGCTTCCAGCAGTCCTCAGGATGATAAACGTACATGCAATGAATGCTTCAAAGGAGGTTATATATTGGAGCAATGTGAACAATGTAAATCCCACTATCACCCACAGTGCCAACGCGAAGAAGATGTGCCTGCAAATGTTACTCAGGATCCCAAAGAGATTTTAAGTGAAACGAAAACATGTCCGGCCTGTAAGAGAAGCAATGATAAGTTGTTGCAAAAAGGTTTGTCATCTTACTCTTCTACTACTTCCACCTCGTCAACATCTTCAACGTTGTAATATTAAATATAAAATAAAATACTTTTCTATATCATTGTTATTAAATATTTATGTTGTTATTTTTCTTTTATTTTTTTTTTTTTGTATAAACATAGAAATTTTACTCAATAAAAAACTACAAAATACCGCACATGATTTGGAATTGAAACTGGCTCAGGAAAAAGATCGTCGTGATGTTTTGCAACGTACGGGCAAAATGTATAAAATACAAATGAATAATCTATTTAAAATTGTTGATTCATTGAAATCGGAAGGCCCCAATGACAATGGCCCAGCCATATTATCCACCCGCAGAGCTGGAAATATTAATATAATAGAATTGGATTAATTGTATTGCTTCCATTAAAAATGGCTTTTATTATGCCTTTCTTCCTTTTGGGTAACTTCCTTTAATTCTACCTATCTATCCCTATTTTAGTTTAAATCTATGTTAATTTTACTAATATTATGTTGTTGTGAAGCTGTCGTTTATATTGTTTTTTTTTTTATTATTTTACAACTTTGCATACTTAAATACGTATATTATCAAAACTAAAAACTAATTATGTTAAATATTATTCCATTTATTATTTTTTTAGAAGTCACAATGTTCAATAAGTTTTTTTCTTCTTTTTTGAATAAAATTCTGCTAGAATATTTACTTATCCTTACGCTTATTATTACTTTTTTTGATTTGTGTTTTGTTACTAAAAGCCCATTTACAGAGCCAAAAAGAAAAATTGAACTTCATTAAATTTACTCAAAATCATCAATACCTTCGAAAAGTCTATTTCATTAAAAAAAATGTTTATCTTTGGTCTTAAGCTGACTGTAAACTATCTTCGTTGTAAGTTCGGCCGGACCGAAGTTTGAATACCCTCCACCATTTAGAAAAAATTTGGTAATTTAAAAAAAAAGAAAAAATAATAAATGAATAAATAAATAAATAAATAAAATAAAAAAAATAAATAACTAAAATTCGTTAAAAAATCTGTTAAAATCTTAAAAATACCGAATATAGCCGTTATATTAGGAATAGGCAACTTTTGTCATAAGCCATTACAATATTCAAATGCGAAATTCGTAGAACAATGTAACTAAAATCATCAAAATACCGAATATAGGGAGACACCATTATATGAGAGCTATACGTAGACGTGGACCTGTACGAACTATTTTCTGTCATAGGCTGTAGTATCCATTACGAACTTCAAATGCCAAATTTAAAACAATTCCGGTGAATAATGTCGCTAAAATCATCAAAATACCAAATATCGGGAGGTACTGTTATATGGGGGCTATACGAAGACGTGGATCTGCACAGACAATTTTCTATCATAGGCCATCGAATCCATTACAAACTTCAAATACCAAATTTTTAAACAATTCCGGTGAATAATGTCGTTGAAATCATCAAAATACCGAATATCGGGAGGTACCGTTATATGGGGGCTATACGAAGACGTGGACCTGCATAGACAATTTTCTGTCTTAGACTGTAGTATCCATTACGAACTTTAAATCCCAAATTTGAGACATTTCCGGTGCATAATGTCGCTTTAATTGCCAAAATACCGAAAATGGCGAGGTATCATTATATGGGGCTATACCAAAACGTGGACCTACATAGCCCATTTTCAATACCAAAAGTCCTGCAGACATATACATTTGAGTAAAATTTTATCAACCTACTTCTTTTCGTTCGGAATCTAGAGTGACGGATTGAGATCGCTAAATCGGGGGGTTTGTGAGGTTAATAAAGTATATTTCGAGGTGTTAAAAACGGAACGACAAACTTAATATACCCTCCATACTATGGTGGAGTATAAAATGGTATAAAAATGTGTTAGAAAATCGCACTGCAGATGGGATTACCGCCCGATCTCATATAAGCCTTGATTTGTACAAGTTATTGAATTATAGCAAACTCCTATTGTAATCGGTTAAATTTTGTCTGTACGTTATATTGTGAACAGGCCGTTTTCCCAGTAAAAAATGTTCCAAAATTATGTAATTGTTGTTTGTTTTGATTTTTTTAAAGAAATAATTTATAATTTTTTTTATTCATACACTGATAAAAAATAATTTTATTTAAACAATATTTTTAATATTTGTTATAAATAACTATTGTAAACGGCTAACAATACGGTTGCACTCAGTCCCAGGATTGTCATTGCGTTCTTGTGATTTATTATCGACTCGCTACCATTGCACAAATCACCTTGACAGAAACACATATAAACTTTTTTGTAATTGTAAATTGTATTGGCGCATCGATCCTGATTGTCGTCTGGTCCACGTTGTACACACATCCGTTGTATGGCCTGATCGTAATCTAGAAAAAAAAAAAGAAAAACGATATGTGGATGTGGATCAAATACTAAATCTCAAATTCATTATTCTTACCATCAACGGCATAAGTGCCACCGCCTTCAATTACTTTTCCGCACCAGCCCGATGCACATGGAATCGCAGTAACACCAGATTCTTTTTCCACATCGGTGGCATTGAATGTGAATGGGTCCTTACAGCTGCCTAATTCTCCACGGGATCGACATTGAAAGCAGCGTCGAAGTAATGCTGTAATAAGATGAAAAAAAAAGAAAATTTAAATGTAATATAAAGTACATTGGGAGATAATGTCGTTGAAAGTGGTGATGTGAGGTCTATGTGAGCTATGCGGAAATTGGTCAATAGAAACATATTCGTAAAACAAGATATTCGGTATTTTGATGATTTTAGCGACATTATTCACCGTAATTGTTTCAATTTCGGTATTTGAAGTACGTAAGGGATACTACAGCCTAAGACAGAAAATTGTCTGTGCAGATCCATGGTACAATGATATGAAGGTAGGGCTATGATACCATATGATATCAATTTTTTTCTTTATTTGTTTATGTATGTGTTTTCTTTTCAATAACAAAAAAAAAAATTTTCAGAAAACATTCAAATTCGGGTGTTTTCAAAATGTTTATTTCAACGTATGCATCGACAAAATCTAGAGTTTTGTAGCGAAATAATCCTTTAGAGATATATAGTACATGATTTTGAAAAGAAGTGTTGACCTTTCATTCAGTTATCGCGTTTTTCAATTATTTATTCAAAATAAATGCAACAAGTTGTTTGATTTTTTATTGTTTTGATACTATTTCTGACATTACAAGCCAAACAGGTAAACCTCTATACTTGCCATTTTTTCAAAGTTGACCTACCTTCTCTTCATTGTACCATGTGCAGATCCATGTCTTTGTATAGCCCCCATATAACGGTACCTCCCGATATTCGGTAATTTTATGATTTTAGCGACATAATTCACCAATTTTTTTTAAGTTTCGCATTTGAATATTTAGATGGTAGATTTGCAAATTAAAGTTGGTTTTGGAAAGGTGTACGAAAATTACTAAATGGTACTAAATTGGTAAATCCGAAATAAGCATCTAGTTCTCTGCAAATTACACACATCATAATATTTTTTATTAATCCAGGATGTGGTGTGAAGATGTAATATATGGGTCTATTCCTGGTACCTCCCCCAAAAGGGTAAAATTTTTGAGTATCCGTGAAGCTCATAAAACGAGAACTTAACATCCGATTCCATTCAGACTTGGTACATCTCAATATTTCCACCAACACAAGATCTGTTATAAAGATGGTAGAGATCGGACCATTCATTCTGGAACCTCCTCCACATAGAGTTCAAGATTTTGAAAAACAAAATGCTCACAGAAAGCGAGATAAGCATCCAACTCTCTTCAATTTTCACACATCCAAATATTTTTGCTACTACAAGATCTGCTGTGAAGATGATATAAATCCTCCTTCTGGTACCTCACCCACAAAGCGTCACAATTTTCAATACTTTTATCAGTAATAACTTACGAAACAAGTCGGCGATTCTTTACAGCTTACTATATCTAAATATATCTCTCGAAATGAATATGGATTTTATGATTTCGCATAAAATTGAATATAAATTTTCGATTTTCTTGTAATTTTGCCCATATAAATATTTTTATCTGTATTAGGTGGAGTATGAAATTTAATATTTCGGTCGAAATTATCTGATACCTCACACACATTTTAGCATTTTCTAAAAATAACATATATCATATAAAGTGAAGGAAGTAGTCGATATATAATCCAAATCTGGCACGTCTCAATATTTATATCATATTTATTTAGGTCCGATGCGAAATGGGCAATATTGACCATTCCTTCGGAAACTACTCTATAGAGGGTCAACAATTTGAATAGTCATAACAGAAGTCCAAAAATATTTTTATAATCTACTTGGGCTGAGGGTATATATCTGTCGGCAAATCCGACTGATTTTCTATAACCTGTTTTTAAAGAATTTGCCATTAAAACTTTGCGAAAAAAAAATTTAATTTAGAACTTATCTCTAATGAGTAGTTGAAACAAAAAGTCCCAGGGATTTGACAAAATGCTGCCATATTTTCCTTAAGGGTTCTTGGCAAACTTTTGCCAATATTGACACTCTATTTATTGGAGTAGACTCCAACAACTGAAATAGTATCATTAAAGTTAAATATTGGGTTCGCCCAGGCGAGTTCTCTTTTAATACACTTTGCCTTAAAATAATCTCTTTCAGTCACTCAATTCAAACTTTGACATTTCCTAAGCGAGAACCGTAAGAAATAACATTTAGAAAACAAGTAACGCACCTTCATTAAAATACCAAAGAAAAAACTACACGTTTGCATGTGTGTGCAGTCGTTGTGTTTACAGAGGCTAGTTCTTTTGCCAATGGGTCTTTCCAGAGGGTAAAGGAAGTGAGAAGTTAATCATTCGACATTGAGTATTTGAAGTGACAGAAACTACATTATTTGATGGTCTTATTACTCATAGTTGTACAAAGAAAACTCTGAGAATGACAAATAAAATAAACCCATAACAGTTATAATAACTTCAACAAAAAAATAAAAACAACAACAACACATAACATTAACACCACCAACAAGAAAGAGCAACATGGTACCATTTCGAATATATCACAATTACCAACATTGTACAGCGCACCAATTCACTTTTCCTCGTTTCACATAGGTATTGGTTTGTATGTGCCTTTGTATAATTGTAGGTATGTACGTAGATGTCTGTCTGCCTGACTTTGGTTAAACACAACAAAAGACTTCAACAAGACACGAACTTGATTTCTGTTGACCACTTTCCACAACCTTTTACTTTTCATTTATTTGGCCACTTACCATCCGATGAATGGAATAAACTTAAGACAATTATTATCACAGTTAATTGAACACTTAATTTGAACATTTTCGCGGTATTTATTTTCTATAAATTATATTTTCTTCTTCAAAATTGTATTTTCCATTAAATCTTTTGTGCAGAGTGGCAAATAAACATTTCTTTGACTGGTTCGATTGACAACTGAAACGTTTTGGTAATGCCACATTGTTAAAAGTCTTGCACGCCAAAAAGTGTTGCCAACCATGTATCGATAGTCATATTTGTGCTATGCACCGATAGGTGGTAGCATTGTAGAAATGTACGTTAAGTGACTTGCCAACAGTTCATCGAATAGTTGAGAACGGTTTTATCGACATTGATTGTAAGTCAATGACGTTCTTACCCTCGAATTGTAGATTACAATAAACAGATGGCGCTCGTCACAACACAATGAAATACTTTTCAACGTCTACCAATTAAAGACCGGAAAAAAGTATTATTTTTTCATCACAATTGTCTATAAATCACAATTCAATTTCTCTTAGTTTTTTTTCAGCACCAGTACCAGTGTTTTCTGAAAAACTTTTAGTTTATGTTCCAGAACTTGAAATAACCAAACATTCTAAATATCGAAACCATTAAGTAGTAAAGGTCAAAAGTAGGGCGGGGCCGACTATATAACATCCTACACCACTGTGCGTATTTAGTACACCTCAAGTAACAAAAAATTTTATACTAGGAATTTATGTGAACCTATGAATCAAATAACATTGATGGATAGGGCATGATATGACTTCGATAACGATTATATTAAAAACTATTTATTGGAGCAATAGATATACCGGACCGAGCTCCACCAAATTAGGTTGGATATGGAAAAATCTATTAAATTTGGGCTGATATTGCAAATATGGTGAACAATATCCGTAAAATCTGATGAAGATGTTTATCGAATCCATATAAACATCTAAACCGATCTCGGCAAAATTTGGCAGAGGTATTTTCAAGCAGTATCTGATGTCCGGTATCTAATATCATTATAGCTACATCTATTTTCTTCAAATTTGCTGTACTTGCTTTTAGACTGAATTCGGTCGGATGTGCTAAAATTCAGGTCATTTGGACATCGACGTTCTATCTTACAATATGACATCGACGAGTTATGGATAACCACTGGACACGCTATCAACGAGCACTTGAGTTGTCGAAGAGCTATCAAAAATCTATCCAAAAATATAGTTGCATTTCGAGTTTGGAGGGCATATTAATTTTGTTATTCCGTTTGTAAAATATATTTTTAAACCCCACAAATATAAATTTTAAACCCCACAAAGTATATATACTCATGATCAGCATGAAATTCTATGTCGATTTAGCAATGTCCGTCCGTCTGTGGAAATCAATCTAGCTACTCAACGAAATGAATTAGGTTGATAGAATTTTACTGAATTGTATATTATGTCTGCAGGACTTTTGGTTTTGAAAATGGGCCATGCAGGCCCACGTTTTGGTATAGCCCCCATATAATTGTAACTTCCTATTTTCGGTATTGTGATGATTTTAGCGACATTATTAACCGGAATTGTTTCAAATTTGCTATTTGAAGACCGTAATAGATACTACAGCCTATGACAGAAAATTGTCTGTGTAGGTCTACGTCTTCGTATAGCCCCCATATAACGGTACCTCCTGATATTCGGTATATTGATGATTTAGGCAACATTATTCACCGGAATTGTTTGAAATTCGGTATTTGAAGTTCGAAATGGATACTACAGCCTAAGACAGAAAATTGTCTGTGCAGGTGCATGTTTTCGCATAGTCCCCATATAACGGTACCTCCCTATATTCGGTATTTTTATGATTTTAGCGACATTTTTTACCGGAATTGTTTCAAACTTGGTATTTGAAATTCGTAATAGATACCACAGCCTAAGACAGGAAAGTGTCAGTGCAGAATCACGTATTCGTATAGCCCCATATAACGGTGCCTCCCGATATTCGGTATTTTGATGATTTTAGCAACATTATTCACCGGAATTGTTTCAAATTTGGTATTTGAAGTTCGTAATGGATACTACAGCCTATGACAGAAAAGTGTCTGAGCATGTCTGCGTCTTCGTATATCCCCCATATAACGGTACCTCCCGATATTCGGTATTTCGTGATTTTAGCCACATTTTTCAATGGAATTGTGTGAAATTCTACACAAGGAGTTCTTTGTGAGTACTTTACCGCCTGAAAGAGAATTATATATATGGGTCCACGATATTGTGTAGCCCCCATTTGACCCCCCGATATTCGGTATTTTGATGATTTTAGCCACATTTTTCAATGGAATCGTCTGAAATTCTACATAAGGAGTTTCTCGTGAGTACTTTACCCCCTGAAGGAGAATTATTTACATAGGTCCACGATATCGTATATCCCCCATATGACGGTACCTCCCGATATTCGGTATTTTGATGATTTTAGACACATTCTCCAATGGAATTCTCTGAAATTCTACACAAGGAGGTCTTTGTGAGTACTTCACCGCCTAAAAGAGAATTGTTTATATAAATCCACGATATCGTATAGGCCCCATTTAAGGTACCCCCCGATATTCGGTATTTTGATGATTTTAGCCACATTTTTCGATGGAATTGTCTGAAATTCCACACAAGGAGGTATTTGTGAGTAATTTACCCCCTGAAATAGAAAAATAGGTCCACGATATCGTATATCCGCAATATATCGGCACCTTCCGATATTTGTAACATTTTAACAGAATTTTTAATGGATTTTATTTTTTTGAAAATTTCTTAATTCGTTCCAAATGGTGGAGGGTGTTCAAAGTTCGGCCCGGCCGAACTTACTGCTTTTTTACGTGTTCCTTTATGACATCGGAAAAAATTCTTAGTAGATTTTTTCAGATTCAGGAACAGATCAATTTTTAATTTTACAATATTATCGTTTTGGGTGCCTACATTTTTTGCAAGAAGTTTTAAAATTAGCCTTATTTTAAATATGATAATTTATTTATTTTCTCCATTTTCCCATTCTACAAAAACAAATACCATAAGCCGGATAGAAACAAATGTATTCATGATGAAATTATAAGTTATATCAATGACAATTTTATCTGTTACATTGAAATGACTGTTGATGAATGTTCTTTGTTCCCTTAATGCTAACATGAGGAGGAGGAGGAGACACACACACCCACACACTCGTATAAATATATATGTAGTATATATAAATATGGCAAGTGTGTTGTACAGGACCCATTCCGTCATTCCATCACGATAATCATATAATTATATGCAAATAGAATTGCTTCCTTTTTATGTGATGATGATGACACTGCATAACGGCATCAGTTGTAATGTAAAGATGGTTGAACGAATAAAGCTGCGAATGAGCGAGAGAGCGAACGAATGGATAGATGGATGGATGGTTGAATATGACATTTTAAATAAATATAATACTGTTTAATTTACAACTCCATTATATTGCAATAAAATGTGAGAAGAATAACTACATAGTCTTATGTGTGGACTAACATACACTTGTACATAAATATATATAGACAGTATGTAGTATTTCTGTCTTATCAAATATAACTAAATTTATCATTATTAATTTACAATTTTAATTCGATATATATTTTAATTTCAATAAAAATAGATATATGACAATCATTGGGGGTGTAAGTTTCTATTAAATCTATAAACTATAGTTAAAGCAAGTAAGCAAAAGCTATAGTAGTGCGGGGACGACCATGTGATACCCTACAACACTACAATATGTTAGAAGCCCCTTATTATTTCGCTTTTGAAATTATGTCACGGAGCTCTGCCTAGATATTACACTTAGAATTTTGACCAGGGACATTTGGCCAATATTTACGCACTCCGTCGTCCTGTTAGTTGTTGTGGTCCATTTTACATCTAAATATAATCTAAAGGCCATCCATTTTGGTTCATTTGAACCACTAAATATTTTGCGATCTGCAAATTTAGTCTCATCTATATGATTTGCTTGTCTACGATATTTGCCTATATTCGTCAACGAAATCAGCGTAAAAAGCCAGAAGTTCGCCTTTTGTGTATTTATGATTTCGCATGCAAGTTATCTTCAGCGTTTCGGTAGAATGGAAATGTTGGTGTTGGTCGGCTGCAAAATCAGGAACATTTTTAGTTGTTCAACCCCTAAATATATTGCGGATATCTGTAAAAATAATAGGCTTAGCCCTTCTGAGCCTTAACCTACATTTGTGAAAAATTTCGTGAAGATCGGACGATAATTGCAACCTGTATATAAATAATAAACCCAACCTGTGTTGTAAAGTGCAAAAATATTACAAAATATACACTTCAATATTATAAGTCAAATTGAAAAAATCGCATGCGATAAAAAATATGAAAAAATAAAAAAACGTCACAAAGTACTACAAAATCTATATTAACATCATTATTTGCATCTTTTTATGCGATTTTTTTAGATTTTATACTTTTATGCCAAAAGGGCATTCTAATTTTACAAAATTTGTCAAAATAGCTCCAGCCATTCTGGAGATATAAGCATTCTAGCTAACATCCCCTTCCTTTCTATATATACATTGTATATATTTCGCCATATATATCCGATATTTTTACTATCGGCATCTACATAACGGTCAGAATTGACCTGTTCGTCTATTTGTGATTTCGTCGTCATTAAAAATATTAGCGGTTTAATGGAAAATTTGACTTTTATTTATCACAAATGCTATGGTCTATTTCAACCACTAAATATTACCCGATGACCATCAAAATTGGAAAGCTTCTGCCCAGCCCTAAGTTCTAGCCCCATGCTAACTTCCCCTTTGATTGGTCTATAATTGCGACCTGTAAAGCAACTGCAAAATCTGGAAATTTTTCAGTTTATGGTCCCTAAATATTATGCGATCATCTCCAAAAGAAATAGGGTTCTATTCTGACCTTAGCCCCACGAGGGCTCTATATTCTGACCTTAGCCCGATTAGGGCTCTATATAAAAGCCCTAAAAATATTTTTCCTTATAACTCGCACCCCCTTTTTGGGGTTTTGATCTACAAACCCAATTCCAATCCCATTGGAATTTCCACACCCCAGATAGACTGTCACGTCAGGAAATTTAATGACAATTTGCAGTAAATTAGGAAAAATTGATTAATTTGCCAAGAATAACAATTAAAAAAGAAGTAAGTT